GGGAATCTGCCAATAGCCTTTGGTTAAATCCAGCGTCGTGTAAAAGCGAGCGTTGCGTGCTCAGGATAGAGGCACAAATATAACGCCATAGGAGCAGGAGTTTTATGAAAGAAAATATATTTCTCGACCCGGGGCATTGGATAAGCATCAAATTTGGACACCTCGTTCACCCTGCGGTAGTGCACACAGAACCGGATTGACCCGTCGGACTTACGTACCAGCACGACGGGGCAACACCAGTCACTGGTGGACTCTTCTATCACTCCCATCTCTAGCATAGCCTGAAGCTCCGCCTGAACAATTTTCCTCCTGTGTTCAGGCAGCCGATAGGGCCGTGAACGAATGGCCATGCCCGGGGGCGTTTCTATGCGGTGGTGTATGAGAGAGGTGCGCCCTGGCAGCATAGAGAACTCGTTGGCAAACTGCCTTTGCAACGAAGCAACGTCTGCTCTCTGGCCCGGTGAGAGATTGTCGCCACAACAGACCGGGGCTACTTTGTTGCTTTTAATGACCTCCGGTCCCAACTCATCTCTCTCAATCACCGTGGTGGCCAGAGAAACCGACGCCACCTCCCTCCATGCTTTCAGGAGGTTAAGGTGGTAAATCTGTGTTGCTCCCCCCCTGTCAGAACGCACCACCTCATAATCTACGTCCCCCACTCGTCGTGTGACCACGAAGCGTCCTTGCCACTTGGCGAGTAGTTTAGAGCTAGAGGATGGGAGTAATACAAGCACTTTATCTCCCGGTGAAAATTGTCTCAGTTTCGACCCTCTGTTGTACAGGCGCTGCTGACGTTCCTGAGCCTGGAGCAAATTCTCCCGTGATATCTGCCCCAGTGAGTGGAGTTTTGCTCGCAGGTCCATAACGTACTGTATTTCGTTCTTACTGGTGCTTGGACCCTCCTCCCAGTTTTCCTTAACTAGGTCCAAAACACCCCGGGGCTTCCTACCAAATAACAGCTCAAAGGGAGAAAATCCCGTGGAGGACTGGGGCACCTCCCGCACTGCAAACAACAGAGGATCTAGCCATTTATCCCAATTACGGCTATCTTCGTGAACGAACTTACGAACCATGTTCTTTAGTGTTTTGTTAAACCGTTCCACCAGGCCGTCGGTCTGCGGATGGTAAACACTAGTCCGTATTGAATGGACGCCCAATAGTTCATACAGCTCGCGTAGTGTGCGTGACATAAACTGTGTGCCCTGGTCAGTCAGGATCTCTTTCGGGATCCCAACTCGGGAGATAATGTGAAACAGTGCCTGCGCGACGCTCTTTGCAGAGATATTACGCAGCGGCACTGCCTCGGGATATCGCGTTGCATAATCCACTAGGACTAGTACAAAGCGATATCCCCGTGCACTCCGGTCTAATGGCCCGATGAGGTCCATACCAACTCTCTCAAAAGGCACCTCAATCAATGGTAACGGGCGCAAAGGCGCTCTGGGGATGGCCGGCGGGTTAACCAGCTGACATTCACGGCAAGATGCACACCACCGCTTCACATCTGCGCGAATGCCCGGCCAATAAAATCGGGCCATTATCCGGTGTAGTGATTTGTCGTACCCTAGGTGACCTGACATGGGGTTATAATGAGCCGCCTGGAAAACCATTTCCCGACGGCTTTTTGGCACCAACAACTGGGTATTTATCTCTCCTGTCTGTGTGTCATGGCTTACACGATACAGCCTGTCCCTAACCACCGTAAAGTGTGGGTGAGTGAGTGCTGCGTTTGGGTGTAGCTGGGAGCCATCAATACTCACCACCTGGCCGAAGGCGTGCTGAAGGGTCTCGTCCCTCGACTGTTCGAGGGGGAAATCTTCCACGGGAAACACCAGCGGGTCCAGAGGGACCTCCGCGGCCCCCTCCGTGTCCGTTTCCCCCTCGATGTCGTCAGCCGCCTCCGACTCTCCACTAAACACAGCACACAACTCACATTTCCCTGCCGTCCGTGAACGCACCCCCATAGCCCCCGCTAGCTTAGCAAACCCCGGCCAATTCGTTCCCAAAATCAGAGGGTGCGTAAGGCGAGTGCTAACTCCAGCCCTGACTCTATGCTTTTTCCCCTTATAAGAAATTTCCAGCGTCACCTCCGGGTACTGGTGAATATCCCCATGCACACACCTCACCTTCACCCACGATGCTTCAATCAATGCCCCAGTCCGAACCAGGTGCTGATGGATCATCGTCTGATTACAGCCCGTGTCCATCAGAGCCTGGTGTGTACACCCCTGTATACATACCGGTATACGGTACGTCCCTTCCAAATCGGGGGAGGCAACTGGCGGTCCTGCAACCCGAACCAGCTGTCCGACCTCCATGAGAGGACACTCCCGTCGGAAGTGGCCGGGCTGCCCGCACCGCCAGCAATCCTGCCCTGACGTCTGAGGAGCCCCCCGTGGTGCCGGACGACCAGAAGCGTAGGCCGGACTCTGGGGAGATATAAAAACAGGAGGGTAAGGTAGAGCTAGGGGGGAAAGTGTCGGGGCTGCGGGGTTGGGGCCGTGTGATGGTGGGGAGGGAAGGGCAGCTGCTCCAGGAAACCTCCTCCTCGGGGCTGGGACGGGTCTGCCCACTGAGACGGCTGGTGGTCGGGGCTCCTCTTTCATGCTCCGCCGGGGAAGCGAGAGGTGATCCTCCGCGAGGACGACGGCTGCTTCCAGGTTGGCGGGGCGATGGCACTGGACCCAATTCGCCGTCGAAGATGGCAGGCCGGCGATTAACTGCTCCAGCGCCACCTGCCCGACGACTTCCTCAGCGGAGCGCACCCCCAGCTGGAGCCAGCGGCTCGCTGCATCCAGGAGCCGCTGCGCGTAGGAGAAGGGCCGGTCAGCGTCCTCGAAGGGGAGGGCCCGGAACCGGCGGCAATGTCCCTCTGGCGTGCTGCCAAGCCGGTCCAGGATGGCCTTCCTTAGATGCCGGTACACATGCCGAGAGGCTGCTGGCAGGCTGTGGGCGGCTAGCTGCGCACTCCCAGATAGCAGAGGCAATAGCCGCGCTGCCCACTCCTCCTCCGGCCACCCGCACGCCGCCGCTGTGCCCTCAAAGATGTC